GCCCAGGCTAGGAGCATCGGATCCCAGAGTGGCTGGTCCGTTTTTAAGCTCTGGTTCTACCCTACAAGCTGATACTTGAATGGAGTCTCTGTGACGTTGCCCCGCAGAGCTATAAGCAAATTATGCACGACTTAAAGTGCATTTTACGCGCATTTTTGGGAGGAAATTTCAACATTTGTTTGCTTCTCTCGCGGGCTCTGAGCATCGGATCCAGGAAAGTGAGATGACTTTGGAAAGCTACTCCTTCTCTACAAACTGGAGGTGGTTGCAAGTTCCTGGGACGTTCTCCCGCAGAGCTATTAACCAACGACCGGCCAAAAAGGTGCTTTGGCGGGCGATATAGTACTCAATTTACTCCGGACCCTCTAGCGCCGGCTCTGAGCGTCTGATCCGAGTGGGAAATGGCACGTTTTAATGTTCTGGAATCTTCACGACAACCTGGAGGTGGTTGTGAGTTCCTGGGATGTTCCCACACGGAGATATAAGCGATCAGATGTCGTCGGGCGAGTTCCGGTGGGCGAAACGGCTGATTTCCAGCACGGGGCTGCTTGCGCTGATGCAGGGAATAAAAGGAAGAGATCCAGTGAGGTGGAACCACGGTCCTACGTCCAGCACCCGCTCTCCTGCCTGGATTCAGCTAGAATCCCCTGGCGGGCGATATTTCTGCAAAAATGCATGAAATTCAGAAACCCACCTGATGGATCACTTCCAGCCAATAAAAGGAACAGATTTGGTCAGGTGAAACCGGTCCTGGAAGCTCAGCACCGGGTTTTATAGCCGCCTGCGAGAGAATTTTATATTGTGCTTTGGTTTAGAAAAAATAGAGCAGCACTCTTGTGGTAGCCATGTTGACCTTGATAGATTTTTGTTTTGTTTTTCCTCCCCTGAATGGAGAGAAGAGAGGAGAGTTCTTTGAATAAATGGAGACGAGTTCCCCTGCTCCAAAGTTATTTGACTCCGTGGTTCTCACTGGGCATGTTTTCAGCCCTCGTAGCTCACACGTTACAGGGAGTACTAATTGAAGGAGATAAAAAATTGATCCTTTTTTGTTCAAGCATCACTTTTATGTTTCTCTGTCAGGAGTTAAATAAGGATTTTATCTTTTTTTTGTAGGTAAATATATGGTTAAGTAGATAGTTTTGTTTGACAATACTTTAAATTAAATAAAACTGGCAACACATTACGTTCTGTTTTATTTACTTTAAAGAAGTGAGGAGTAGGGAGACAAAATTATGTTTTTTTAATACTGAGACTGGACGAGTAGATCTCAGCAAACTGCAGACTTCAAAAGTAGCTCTTGGTTCAAAAAAGGTTGGGCACCCCTGGCCTACAGTATATTTACAGTATTTGTTTCACAGTTAAAATATGTTAATCAAAGTTTAACGTTACAACTAATCGTGGATTCCTTAATATAAGCAAAATTGATTGATTTATAGCTATTTTAGTTTTTGCTAATGTCGATTCACTGTTCACAGCCACCTTGAATTGAGTTGACTTCAGAAGCTGATGACTTGCAGTTGTACATATCGTTCTAAAGCTTTCATTAAAATTTATTCAGTGGTTAGATATTCTACTAACACAAGGTTAACTGTAGTTAATTAATGCATTAATAATAATTTTAAGCAAATATCTGTATAACTTCTTTGTGCTCTTCCAACAAACAGCCACAGCCCACCTTTGCTGRGGAAAAACATACTTTTGAAAATGCTCTTTTATACCCCAAACACTCACCTGTAACCAGTTGCTCTGATAAAAGAAATTGTGCTTTTGCCACCCCCCCCCCCCCAATTTATTTATTTTTTGTTTGTTTGT